AAGGGTTGCAATTTCGTTGGATGTATGGTAGTTTATAGGTTTGTGGGGTATTGGGAGTGGGGTTGATATTCGAGCGGCTTGTTGAAGTAAAGCTGTGAAGTCCTGGACTGCCTTGTCAATTTCAATATTTGATTTTAGGGAAATGTCGGTGTTAATATGTGAGCTAACATATTTTTTAAATTTTAGCCAATTTGTGTGCTGGTTTGTGAGCTTTTCTTCAGATTTTGGATTGACTATTGTTGTGTTTCTAATCAGAATAAAAGTCGGCGTGTGATCAGAGGAGAGTTCTAAGGGTGCCTCGGTAGCAATTTGATCTCTTTTTAAATTCTTTGTTACCGCAAAATCAATGACGTCTGGAGTTTTTTTCCGATCTGAAGGCCAGTATGTTGGTGTGCCAGTGGAGGATATGTTAAGGTCGAGTTTTGATATCACGTTCATCAGGGATTTTCCTTTGGTGATATAAGTCTTGAGCCCCAGAATGTGTGTTTGGCATTGAAGTCGCCGGCCGCTATGAACTTGGGTCCAAGCTTTGTAAAATATTCTTCGAATTGAAGTTCCGTTATTTTATACCTTGGTGGACAATAGATTGAGGTTATAGTCAGACCTTTTATGTATTCTTCTAGACATATGCTTGTCGCCTGCATATATTCTGCTTCAAGGGTTTGAGTTGGGAAGTGTTTAATGTGGTTTTTTATGAGGACAGCAGATCCGCCTCTTGCTCGTCCACTGGGGTGTTTCGAATCGTAGAGTATGTAACCAGGTATCTTAAAGTAGCTTTTCTCGTTAAAATGAGTTTCTGAAATAAGCATGACGTCAATTTGATGTGATTGTAAAAACAATACAAGTTCGTTTTTATGTTGGCTTAAGCCGTTAGCATTCCAGAAGCAAATTTTGATTGCATTCATGGTTTGGATAGGATTGAAAGTAAGATATTTTGATTTTGAATCATTCCCTGCATCATATTTTGCATGGTGTTCATAAATTGTGTCATATTTTCCATAAACAGTTGGATCATGTTTTCAATATTTGAAGATGATTTAGTAGAGTTTTCATTTTGGACGTTGCTTGGGCCAGTGAACCCTCTAACAGCGTTTGCATATGATATTTGTGTACACGTATTGTTGGAGTCAGATGGAGCATTTGGCTGAGATCGCATTTGAGTAGGGTGTGGTGGGATTACTGACTGAGAGCGGGGACGAAATGCTGGAAACATTCTTTGTTTTTCGGCAGTGTATACTACACATCCTTTATAATTAGCGGTGTGGTTGCCTCCACAATTTCCGCATTTTTTTGTTGTTGGGTCCTTCTTATTTGATGTGCAATCCTTAGTGCGGTGAAAGTTGCCACATGCAACACAAACACTACGGAGTGTGCAATAGGACTTCGAATGTCCATATTCCTGACAATTAGTACACTGCACCGGGTTTTTACGCTTGTGCGGTTCTTCTACTGATATTTTTCTGTGTAGTAGGAATTGTAGGGAATAAATTGGATGAGCCTCGTTCGATTTGAGTTTCTTTCCTTCACGTTCAAGCTCTTTTTCATAAAGTGGTGTCGAAACTTTATCGCGGTTTTTAATATTGTATATTGATTTTGATTTAAATACTTTTTCTTCAAGTGCTTCTTTAATTTCTGCTGTATTTAAATCTGGTTCTATTCCTCTTATAACCACTGTTAATCCTTTGGCACTTTTTAATTGATAGGTGTAAAAATTTTTTCCATTTTTTTCGAAGTTGTTTACAACTGCTCTGTAATGTTTTTCTTCGTTGATCGAGATTTTTGTTTCATCGACATTTCCTTTACGAAGAGGCACAACATGGAATGAATCTTTGCCAATACTTTGTGTTAGGGAGTATATAAGAGCGTTTGAATTTTTTTCACGCAGAAATATGGGTGGCGGTTTCTGGGTAGGGGCGGGTCTGTTATTTTTATCGTCTTCGGCTAGAACGGCAAAACGATTCACTGTCGAAATATTTTCTATTTTTCGAGTTTTTGTCGAGATTGCATTGTTAGCATTTTCTTGTTTAGGGCTACGTTTTCTTTTTATGATTTGAATAAATTTATCCATGCCACGGACTTTGGGTGAATCAGGATTTTTTGCTATGTTACTATTCTTTTGCAATATATTTGGCAATATGTTAACATGTTGCGCTGATGCTGTGTTATTTTTCGAAGATGTTGCTGGACTTTGCGGTTGGTAGCTTAATTGTTTGCAAGAATTTTCACTTACCGAGTATGAGCGTTGCCTTTGGGTTTGGTTGTTTAGCATTGTTGTTTGGTTCGTGGTTGGCTTCTCAGAACTACCATCTGCTGTTGGGTAGCATATGGGTGAGTGGTTTGTGCCTCCGCTATGCGAAGGCGGTTATCTATTAATTGGCATATCGTGGTTGGTATCGTGGAAGTTAGCTGAGCAGCCAACTGTCTCTGAGTAATTTGTTGTGAAAAAGAAGCTTCTACTTTTTAATTATTTAATTATAAACCTTTAAAGTTCTGTTTTAAATGGCACGAGAAAAATAGTATGTATTTAAAAAGAAAAAATATAAATATATATTATTAATATAAGTATAATATAAATTTATAATATAATAAAATATAAATTTCAATTTTTCTTAAGAATTTATCAAACAATAAATTTTTTTTTTTTTTTTTGAGGCGTCCTTTCGCGTATTTATTTATTTTATTTATTTAGCATAAGTTTGTTATTTAATTACACAATTACACAATTTTTCAAATTTGCGATTTGTAATTTGTTTAGCTATTCTACCCGTTTGCAACACTTTTTTGTAAATTTGTTTTTGAGCTTTTAAGCTTTGTTTGCTGTCTCTATCAGCTGTTTTCAAGTGTGTGTGAATTTGGAAAAAAGTAAACAAATTCGAAAACAAAATCAAAATTCACTTTTTTTGCAAAAATAAATAAATATAATAATATTTTATTTTATCGGGCGCTATTATTTTTTTATTAATATTATTTAAGAGTCACTGTCTCGATTATTTGTGACGAGTTTAATATCACTTTTTAAGTTTTTCGCTTAGAAAACACTGAAAGTTACGGAGTGATTTTTTTGCGCGCCAATGCTGATCACAAGTAATAGATGTTTTTTGGGTGGCTTGTGGTGGGAAAAATATCTAACCAAAATTCAATTATTTCACCACAAGTTTGTGGAATATGCTCTGAAGATGAGCAAGATACGATGAAGGTTATCGAGCGGTTCTGGCAACTAGATGAACCAGAAAAGGCAAACAAAAATCTGTCTCCTTCCGAAGAGTTGTGCGAGTCTCATTTTGCAACTTATATGAAAAGGAATCAAGACGGTCGATTCAGTGTCAGATTACCCTTCAAGCAAGATCCATCGTTGCTTGGTGAGTCAAAACACATTGCCATTAACAGATTTTTAGCGTTGGAAAGAAGACTCGATAAGGATGTAATACTCAAAACACAGTATGTACAGTTCATGAATGAATATGCTGATCTCGGACACATGGAAAGGGTTGACATCAACCAAGTTAATCCACATTATGTCATCCCACATCATGGCGTTTTACGGCCCGATAGCAGAACCACGAAATTAAGAGTGGTATTTGTACAGACAAATTATCATTCAGCCCGAAGATCAAAGATATCAATTAATAGTCTGGAGAAGCAATAATAACGAACCCCTACAATTTTATCGATTAAAAACAGTCACCTATGGAACACGATCAGCCCCATATCTGGCTACTAAATGCTTACAACAGTTGGCGAAATCTGAGTTGCAAAAATATCCACTAGGTGCAGCAGCATTAAGTAATGACTTCTACGTAGATGATTGCCTAAGTGGATCAAATAGTCTCCAAACTGCCAAAGATATACAAACTCAGTTAAAAGGTTTGTTGGAATCAGCAGAATTCAAGCTACGTAAATGGTGTGCCAACTATCCGTCACTTCTTCAAAATATTGCAAAAGAAGATCAAGAAGTTGATTTGGACTTTCAAAGTAACGACGCAACATCAATCAAAACATTAGGATTGACTTGGCAACCAAAAGAAGATCAATTTCGCATAAAATTAAAACTGGATCCATTAAAAATCATTACTAAAAGAACCATTACTTCGAATCTAGCCAAAATTTTCGACCCATTGGGATTACTAGGTCCAATACTCGTAACAGCAAAAATACTAATTCAAGACCTATGGCAACTACAATTAACATGGGACGAAGCAGTACCAGCCAAAATATACACTACGTGGACTACCTTTTATGACGATCTACAAGTACTAGATCAATTTAAAATAGATCGTCATGTATTCGGAAAACAGATGCCAGCACTTGAATCAATACAATTGCACGTATTTTGTGATGCTTCACAAAAGGCATACGGAGCCGCAGTCTACGTTCGAGCGAAACTAATGGATGGTCGACTAATAAATCGATTGTTGTGTTCCAAGTCTCGTGTTGGTCCACTTAAAAAACAAACGATTCCAAGGTTAGAACTGTGTTCAGCTCTATTAGGAGCGACATTGATGAAATAGGTTAAGAACAATATAAATCATGATGTAGCAACATATTATTGGACTGATTCAGAAATCGTTCTCTTCTGGACCAACTCTTCATCAGCAAGGCATCAACAGTTCATAGCAAATAGAATCAATGCAATTCAGGAAATTAGCTTGCCTAATCAATGGCGTCACGTAAGATCTAAGGACAACCCAGCTGACTCATTATCACAGGGTATCAAGCCAGCTCAATTACTCGAAAATAACTTGTGGTTATACGGTCCAGTCTTTCTCCATGGTTCCGAAAGCAACTGGCCTGGCGCATTCAATAAAACTCTCTGTATTGATCCGGTGAATCCTGAATGGAAACAAACGACAAGGAAAGTTTCCTTAATCTCAACTGATTACGATATCCATTGGATCGATAGAATCAATCACAGGAATTCATTCAGAACTCTACTACATACGGTGGGATATATGCTGTGATTTGTAAATCGGGCAAGGCGAACCAATTTAAGCAATATCACTATGGCTCTAAGCCCTATGGAACTGGAGCTGTCACTCAGGCATATAGTAAAGTACATACAACAGTCAGAACTAAAAGAAGAATTAAATCAGTTAGAACGCAACCAAACAGTAAAACCTGCAAGTACACTTGCTGGATGCCATTTTTAGATGAACACAAGATAATTCGCGTGGGGGGAAGGTTAGAAGCAACATCACTTACATATGATGAAAAGCACCAGATAGTCCTTCCATACAATAACCCTATTGTAAAACTGATAATGAAAGACATACATGAACGAAATATGCACTGCGGCGGTCAAGCACTGCTGGCAGCAGCGAGACAAAAATTTTGGCCGATCAAGGGTAAAATTATGGCAAGATCAACTATTCACCATTGCGTTCGTTGTACTAGATGTAAACCAATTACTTTTGAACAAGTCATGGGAAGTTTACCAAGGCATCGAGTACAGCCAAACAGGCCATTTTTTAATACCGGAGTTGACTTCTGTGGGCCTTTTTGGGTGCATTATAAGGTGAGAGGAAAACGTCCGCATAAGGCATACCTAGCAGTTTATTGTTGTTTTGCGACAAAGGCAGTACACTTGGAACTGGTAAGCGACTTGATAACAGAAGCATTTATCGGATCATTAAAACGTTTTATCGCACGACGCGGATGCTGCCAAAATATATACTGTGACAATGTAACGAATTTTGTCGGTGCCTCTAACAAGTTGCATGAATTAACAACAACAATCCATTCCAATGTAGCTCAGGAACAAATAACAAAAACTTGCAGCAACAAAGGAATAGCATTTCACTTCATCCCTCCTCGTGCACCTCATTTTGGTGGACTATGGGAAGCAGCGGTTAAATCAGCAAAGTACCTATTGGTCCGAAGTGTTTCAACTGAAACGTTAACGTACGAGGAACTCGAAACCGTCATTATAGAAATAGAAGCTATTTTAAACTCACGACCTTTAACACCAATGTCGTCTAATCCAAATGATTTGCAGGCTCTCACACCAGGTCATTTCTTAGTTGGTGATGCACTAACAGCACCCGTAGACGCAACATGTGAAAAGGTAAAATCATCTCTTTTGAGTAGATGGAATCTGGTTGCACACTTAAAACAAGAGTTTTGGAAAAGATGGCGGGCAGAGTACCTAATGGACTACAGGTTCGAAACAAGTGGCGTAAAGAATGCAAAAACGTTGAAGAAAATACACTGGTGATCCTTAAGGAAGATAATGTACAACCTTTGCAATGGCCTTTAGGGCGAATAATGAAGACATATAAGGGTAATGATGGATTTATACGAGTCGTAGATGTCAAAACCGCAACAGGCATATTAAAGCGACCAATTCACAAACTAGCACCCTTATTTCCTGAAAACAAACCTATTAAAACACAGGAGAATCGCCATAACAAAGAAAAACGAATGGACAATGAAATAGTCCCATGAAAACAAAGACGTGTGTTGTAAAGGATTCTAACTTTTACAAATAATAGACGTGTTCTTTTGCGTGTTGTCACAAGACTGTTTTTTATTAAATTTTATTTCTTAACTCTAACATCAATTCTTACAACTAATTTCCAATAGAATCTTATGTATCGATTCTATTGGTTGATACTTACATTTACTTACGTCTAATTGGTTAACCCAAATTAGACGTACATAATAATTTACAAATATTATTTACTTACTGGTCATTTATTCATATCTATTTCACAGTGGCACACATCTGGTAACCAACTGTATTGAGGACAAATCATATTGCATGCATAATCGCTTGCAATATGATCTGTGAAAAACTTAACACAAATTCATGTGTTTAGCATGCCACTATCCAAATTGTCAAATTGCATATTGAAACAATTAAATATGCATACAAATATTTTGTCATAAAGAAATGACAAAATAGACGAGTCAAATTTCTGACTCATAAATTATTTTATATTTGACAATTAGGTTTTTCGGTCATGCTTGATATTTGAGAGTTTTGGGTTGGCATGACACATTAAATACCGCACACAACGTATTGTGTGTGGTCATGGTTAATATGCCACTACACCCTCACCCTTTAAGAAAAAATTTTTATTTTTGAACAAAAGTTAAACAGAAAAATTTTTAAAAATATTATTTGTTTTATTTATTTATCTTTTTGAATTGACCATGACCTTATATTACAAATTTGGCATAACATATGTGTGTTAAGTAGCATATGTTTAGTTCTTAAATTTTAGGACTTAATAAATAAATCATAGGCTTTATTTATGTAAATATATTTTGATATATTATAACATAGTAAGTATATATATAGCATAATTATGTAATCCATTATAATTATTTCATTAACATTATAAAATTTGTTAAAATATATAATAATTTTAAAGTTAATTTAAATTGTATATGTATTTAATAATAAGACAATATTGTAATGTTATACTTAAATTGTAAATTTTATTTTAATAAAAAAATATATATACAGTCAGCGACAAAACTCTACATACACCCCCCATTTTTGCTAGCTCGTAAATCCAAGGACATAATAGAATAAAGTAATGATACAGTTTTGTTTAGAAGTGTTTTTTAATAATAATAAACAAAAGAAAATCCATTCATCAATATAAATTAACAAAGTTATTCGAAAAAAACCTAAAAAAATCATTGACAAAAGTCTACATACACTTCATTGATTGTTACATTTAGTTGACAGTAATTTAAATGTTAAACGGGAAAGTATCGTTTTTCATATTTCATGCTTGTGGCATGAGTCATACATTTATATAATGCACTTAGTTGTGCTTTGAGAGTGGTATTTAATTGACACGATGGGTCCACGAAAAGAATTTCAAGTGATATGCGAAATCTGGTTATTAAGCAAAGAAATGAAAAAAAACCTTATGGTAAAAATATCAAAACTAGTAAATTTGACTCGATCAACAGTTCAGACGATAATAAAAAATTATAAAAATAGTGGTTCTATTGAAAATAAGCCTCGCAGTGGTCGCCCAAGGATACTCATACGTAGGGATGTCAGCTTGGTTTTAAAAGAAGTTAACAAAAATCCGAAAGTAAGTGCCTTAAAATTAGTCGAACACATTGCTAATGCAACTGGAAAGCATGTCAATCTACGTCAAAGATATTTTTCCTACTTCAGTTGCAGCTACGGCTCCCCAAAGCATAGCACTGCCACCACCATGCTTTACAGTTGGCATTATATGTTTCGGATTCAGTGCTGTTTTCGCTTTCCTCCAAACTTTAGCTCTCCAATCGCGTTCAAATATATTGAATTTCGATTCATCTGTAAATAAAACCTGCTTCCAGAAATCAAAATCCTTTTCTTTATATTGTTTGGCAAACTCTAAGCACAGCTTTCGGTTTTTTTCAGAAATTAAAGGTTCTTTGCGTGGTATTCTATCATGAAAACCGTGGCTGTTCAACGTTCTTTGTACTATACGTGGATTGACATGCTTTCCAGTTGCATTAGCAATGTGTTCGACTAATTTTAAGGCACTTACTTTCGGATTTTTGTTAACTTCTTTTAAAACCAAGCTGACATCCCTACGTATGAGTATCCTTGGGCGGCCACTGCGAGGTTTATTTTCAGGAGAACCAGTATTTTTATAATTTCTTATTATCGTCTGAATTGTTGATCGAGTCAAATTTACTAATTTTGATATTTTTACCATAAGGTGTTTTTTCATTTCTATGCTTAATAACCAGATTTCGCATATCACTTGAAATTCTTTTCGTGGACCCATCGTGTCAATTAAATACCACTCTCAAAGCACAACTAAGTGCATTATATAAATGTATGACTCATGCCACAAGCATGAAATATGAAAAACGGTACTTTCCCGTTTAACATTTAAATTACTGTCGACTATATCTAACAATCAATGAAGTGTATGTAGACTTTTGTCAATGATTTTTTTAGGTTTTTTTCGAATAACTTTGTTAATTTATATTGATGAATGGATTTTCTTTTGTTTATTATTATTAAAAAACACTTCTAAACAAAACTGTATCATTACTTTATTCTATTATGTCCTTGGATTTACGAGCTAGCAAAAATGGGGGGTGTATGTAGAGTTTTGTCGCTGACTGTATGTTTTTACTTCATTTTCTTTTGAATAACTTCGTGTTATTTTTATGTAGAGTTTTCGTTTCATTTCCAACCTGAATATCAACATTACTGTTTTCTATTCTTGTAACTTTGTAGGGACCTGTATAAGGGCTTGTACTCTTTCTAGTTCTGTTTGTTTTTATTAGTACCTCATCTCCTACTTTTAAAATGATTGGATTGCTATTTTTTTTAGAAATATCCTTACGTCTAACTTTTGCGCCTATGCTTAACTTTCTCGCTCTATCAAGTGATAACCTTAATCTTGCTTTTAACTCATTGGCATAATTATCTAGATTAAATATTCCTTGACTATTGTTTAATTGTTCATTTGGTAATGCTGGTAGTTTACCAAATATTAGTTCGTGAGGTGTATAGTGTGTATCGACATGGGGCGTTGTGTTATACGCGAATGTATAATATGGTATCCACTTATCCCAGTCGTCATCTTGTGCAAAATTTAATAAATATTCGTTCAGGACGCGATGGTTTCTTTCTACTAAACCAACTGTCTCGTGGTGGTATGGTGTCGAAAAAACTTGTTTTATGCCCATTAGCTCTGTTACTTTCGTCATTAGTTCATTCAAGAATTCTGTGCCTCTATCGGACTTTAGAGTTTTGAATGAACCAAATTTTAATATTAATTGTTCTACCAGTGTTGTAGCTATTGTTTTAGCATCTTTGTTTACTATTGGTTGTGCAATTAGGAACCTGCTAAGTTCACATTGCATTGTTAATATGTACCTGTAACCGTTTGATGGTCTCAGGGGTCCGACTGTGTCAATTTGTATTGTTTCGAAAGCGGTATATGGGGTTGAAGTAATTTGAAGTTGTTCTTTGCTATGTTTAGTTTGTTTGTTCTTTTGACATTTTTCACATGTAGTGATGAATTTGTGTATCATTTGTTTCATTTTTCTCCAAGTATATTTCTGTTTCAATTTTATGAAAGTTTTTCGTACTCCTAGATGTCCGCTAATAGTATTATTTGAAATTCTTCAATTAATCTATATTTTGTCATGATGTCAGCTATGTTTACTGGTTTCTTGTATAATACTATTTTCAATTTTTCTTTGTTTTTATTTTTTCGTTGCAACTCATTTATCATATCTTTGAATTCTTTTTTATCCATGGATGTAATTATAATATCTTCATCGCTAAGCGCTAGCATTGTTATTTTTATTCTTTCTAGTTCGGAAATCAGCTTCACCATAATCGAAATCGGCTTCGGAGGTATTTCGCGTAATTTCACTGTGACTTTTTTGTCATCGTATCTTATGAATTCATCTTTATCTTTACCTATAATTTTAAACTGCAGTGTTTTCATACCTCGAATATCACTAATAGAAGTGCAATCCCAACAATAGAGTTGATCAGGCTCAATTGGTTTTGCCTCTTTTTGTGTATTCATTTCGGTAGTTTTATTGGCAGAGCTACCAGTGGCTGCTGCGGCGCGCGCTTTACTTCTAGTCGTTATACATATTTTAGCTTTTTCTTTTACATGACATATCGTTTCTTCGTCTTCATCCGGATTATTCAATTTATGGCTGGACATCTTGTCTTCGGTTGTAGGTATTAAATTCCTTAAAATGTTACTGTCTATTCTAATTCTAGACAGGGCATCAGCATTAGTGTTAATCTTTCCTTTTTTATATATTATCTCAAAATCATAGTCTGCTAAATCGATCCGAATCCTTGTCATTTTTGAAGAAGGATTCTTGTGGACAAATAATGAAATCAAGGGTCTGTGGTCAGTAACAACGTAAAAGTGTTTGCCATACACGTATGGTCTGAAATAGTTTATTGCCCAATGTATTGCAAGTAGTTCCTTTTCAATGACTGGTTTATTTAAGTCATGTTTTTGTAAGGCTTTGCTTGCATAACAAATTGGCAAATCTGAACCAATGTTACCTTGAGATAGAACTGCACCAAGTGCATAGTCAGAAGCATCCGTTGTTATTATGAACGGTTTATTGAAATCTGGGTATTTCAATATTGGGGGACTCATTAAAATCGATTTGAGACTTTCGAATGCTATGTCGCACTCAGTATTCCATATAAATTTCTGATTCTTTCTCAATAGCATATTTAGAGGTTTCGCTATTGACGCAAAATCTTTGATAAAACGTCTGTAATAATTACAGAAAGCAATGTATCTCCTAACTTCATCTACATTTGTAGGTTTAGGATAACTTTGAATGACTTTGTATTTGGCTGGGTCTGTTTTAACGCCATGTTCAGTGATTAAATGTCCTAAATATGTAACTTCGTGTTTTAGAAAGTTGCATTTTTCAGGATTTAGTTTTAAATTATAATCACTTAGTCTTTTAAAGACTTT